ATGTCAGAAATGACCGATCGGTCGACCGCGGACGAAAGAGCAAGAAGAGGGCAGAAAAAAGGGGGGAAAGAGAGAAAGAAAGAAAGGGCGAAAGGGAGAACCGGAGGGAAGAACTACCTTCGTGACATAATTTCGAAACGCGCGGCCATTGTTTGAGGATAGAGTTCTTTGATAAGTGTCGGGCAGCACGCGCCGCACCTAACTTCCGGCCGAACATATTTATTCCGGGCTCTCGAGTGTTCCCCAAGTAGGTCGCAAAGTATTTCTGATTAATGCCCGTTCTCAGCGCGAACGAGCAAACGTTCTCGCGGAAACTTTTCTATTCCCGTCGGAGTGCTCGCGCGACGCACAATTATTTCGCCATCCGCGAACGACCGTCCGCGTCTTAATCCCGAAACATTTTATCCAAGAGTACACGCTTACGCCGGAGACCAGTCCCTCGCTCTTCCAAGCGAACCGAGTGTCCGCGTTTTTATGCCACGATGACGGTATTAAACAGTCCCATTTGTCGTCAAACGGAAACGCGATAATGTGCGTTATTAAGGAATTGTCGCGGGTTCGCGGAAAAGAAGATTTGGTAAACGGAGCGTGCGGGAAAACAGCGTCAACATTATTTTTCTCCCAACTCTCGCGATGACGTCGAGAACATTACGGTTGCACGAAAGAGGCTCGTCGTAAGATGCGCCCGTTTTCTCATATTTTAAGCGAATCCACTGGTCAGAATTGTAGAAAAATTATTAATCATGCGATATCCTTGGAACTTTGCGGAAAATAAAATTTGCCTGCATCGATTGCAAGATACTGAAACTATCCAGAGATTTCTTTTCGTTCTTAATCATTTTAACACGTTCCCTGCCGCGTGGGGTGTATACGCCCAACGCTGAACTTTCCGTTCAAGCCATTTGGTATTATCATTGTAAAATGAAGAATTTTTTAAAAATTTATTATGCAGTCAATTATGGACATCTTAATACTATTGCTGATGCCCTCGTTTAATCGTGGGGCGTATACGCCCCACGCGGCGTGATGGGCAATTTTTCTTTACTGTAACTTGTTTTAACTGCATTTCTCATATTCCGATCAGTCATTTATTCGCGTGTCGTTGACACAATACTTACTGCTTCACTGAAGCTGGGATTGATTTATAGTTCTATAGTACTGTAAAAGTTGTAACATTCTGCGATAGTTGTGTGGATAAACCACACTTATGTTTGCCATGTTTTAACAAAGTTCATCGTAACATCCCTTTGTAATCGCATAC